TGTCCATTTCTCCAGCTTTGTCATGTTGCTTAAAGTAAGTTTTCTCAAAGCTGGAAATGGTAGGATTGATTCTCCTTCACCTTGGCTGCTGCTTGCCCACCATGTTTTCAGCTCTGGACAATCCTGAACATGCAACTCCTCAAGGCGAGGAAACACGACCATGCCTTGTGCTTCTGTCCATTTCTCCAGCGTTGTCATGTTGCTTAAAGTAAGTTTTCTCAAAGCTGGAAATGGTTTTATTGATTGTCCCCCACCTTGGCTGCCGCTTCCCGTGCTACTACTTTCAGGATAAGACATTTTGCCTATCATCTTCACATTTGGCATTGCATTTATATTGAGAACCTTAAGCTCAGGTAAGAGTTCAAGGCATGAAATATCACCACATTCATCACAATCAATCAATTCCAACTTCACAAGTCTGTTAAGTTGAAAGGAAGCATGTGAACCACTGACATCCTTCATCATCCATGAAGGGCACTTGCCTCCCCTATAATTTTCAATGGTTAAGCTTTTCAATTTTGAGGGAGGCTTAAGACCTTCCAGAACACCCATATCTTTGTCACTGTTGGCTCTGTTTTCACTCCATACAAATTGCAACTCGATCAATTCTCCTTTATCTTGAAGGCTTGCTTCACTAGCTTCTGATTGAGATACTAGCTCAAGCTTGCAAATTTTTAGTTTTCCTCTGAGTTGGTTCAAAGATTTAAGCTCTTTAATTCTTCGACCCTTTTCTGTGCCCACAACAAATAGCGGTAAAGTCTGAAGAGAAGGTAATTTCCGAATGCTACTTGGCATATGCCTTTCATCATCAAAATAAATATGCCTCAAGCTGACTAGATTTTCAATACCACTTGGGAGCTTTTCCAGTGAATTGCAGCCTGTGAATCTTAAAGTCCGCAAATTGTAGAGCTCGGTGACAGATTTTGGTAGCCTTTTAATTTCACTTCCTGATATGTCAAGGTATTTCATGTAATATTTCAATCTCCAAAGAGAAGATGGCAACTCATTTGCAGCAGCAGCTTCTAGCTTTAAAGATTGCAAACTTTTGGACTTCTTAGGCATCATGTGCAAGACATCAACATCCAAGAACAAAGAGTGCAACCTTTCAGCAACACGTTCTGGAACAGTTTGAAGGTTTTCATCAGACTCAACCCTCATATGCCGAACACTCTCCTCAACAGGAAGGATATCCGGCCAAATATATGTTTCATATTTTGCTGAAAGCAATGCAAGATTATGCACCTCATCATGCATCTTGCAAAACTTTATATTCCCACACTCATCCATGTCTACGTCTTCCAATAAGTAATTGGATACCAAATCATTGAAATACCTGTTACCAACATCTTCTTTTTTATCTGATTTGCTGTGGGAAAGAAACCCATTAGCCATCCAAAGCTGAATTAATTCATCTCTACTAATTTTACCATTTTTTGGAAAAATTGAACAGAAGGAAAAGCATTTTTTCAAATGTGGAGGCAAGTGATCATAACTTGTTTTCAGTTGAGAGAGAATCTTTTTTCTATGTTCTGCATGCCATGCTTTATTATCTCTGATAGCTGACCACTTATCTACCTCAATATGAGCGCCCAAGTGTTCGCCAAAGACAGCTGCAACTAATGGCAAACCCCCACACTGTTTTGCAATATCTTTTCCAATAAGCAACAACTGTGGATCTTCTATTGGAGTTCCATTGGACGATCTGAGAACATTCTCCTCCATTATCAACCAGCAGTCATCATCTGATAGCTTTTGCAATTCATGCTTATGCAAAGGAATTTTCTCCATTATTGAAGCTACCTGTTTGTTACTAGTTGTTATGACAACAGAGATTGTAGTAGTTTTGAAATTATTTGGCAGATCAGAGATGAACTTCTTCAACCTTCGAGCATCATCTTCATTCCGTACACCATCAAGGATGAGAAGAATTTTTTTATTTTCTAACTCTCTTTTAAGAAAAAAAAGTATTGCATCGACATTATTCAATCCGCCAGCATGACTATCAAGACATTCCAACATATCTCCTAAAATCATCACTTCTTTAAGATCCTTACGTACCGGCACCCAGGCCACCAGACTGGAGGGGTGATTTTCCCTTGCCCTCACACATATTGATGTAGCTACTGCTGTCTTTCCAACACCTGGCATGCCGACTATGGAAATGCCAGAGAGTTGATGCTTCTGGCTCAACTCATCCAGCAATCTTTCAATTTCTGAGACATCAGCATCCCTTTGCAAAACTTCAGAATTATAAGATGACTCATCAGCTTCATGATTTTGGTTGTCTCTTGTAATCAGTTCAATACAACTTGCTTGTCCTACAATTCTATCGAAAGACCCATTAACCTCCTTCATTTTGCTAAGCATGGATTTGTAGGGGAAAACGAAATTGCGCACCTGTTTCTTGACTTTGCTTTGAATCCGACCTTTGGGCCGGTGAACTCCATATGCATACTCATCCAGCAGATTACGCAGATCATCAGCTGCATCTTGGATCCTCTGCAGCCAATCCCTTGTGGCTTCATCACTTTGCATTTGATCTGCCTTTTTGAGAACAGATTGTATCGATGTAAGCGACTCCTTCAGCTTCTTCAGCTCCTTCTCCAAATCCCCTGAATTCCGGAGTTGTCCGAATCTTGTGTCGAGCAGTGAAGCGACCCTAGAGTATAACTGCCCAATAGCAGGGGCAACGAGGAGGCTGAGAACGACCTCAGCCATTATGTATGCAAGTGCAGACGTAGACAGAAACACGATTGCAAACACAACTTGAATTCTAATAAGATGGAGAGGAAAGGAGAATAGCTTTGGAAGAGCAGCAGAGAGGAAACAAAGGCAGCAAGGTTTTGAACCTAATAATTAAGAGTGTTTGACGGAACTTTCATTTTTGACTTTTTTGCAAGTTTTTTTTTCCTTTTTCCTTTATAAAATTAAATTTAAGGTGAAAATTTTAAAATTAAGATACTTTGTACTTTAAATGTTAAAATTTTGTATGAAATTATTTTAAATATAATTAATAAAATTTTTTATTTGTTTTAATTTATTAAAAATATTTTAATTTTTTATTATAAATTTTGACATTTTAATTATCATGTCTTCATTTTTCTTAATTTTAAATTCAAGTTAGTTTTTTAGATTATGTCTTTAATTTACTTTTTATTGTAAATATATTAGAAAAAGAAAAATTAATTTTATTATGGTTATTAAGTAAATAAATTTAATTAAATAATTGATAAAGAAATTTTTTATGGTTATTAAGTAAACCTAATATTGTCTTGATAAAGAAAATAGATGTGAGGGAGGGGCATCAATTTTTTTTCTATAAAAACATTTATAGAAATATCCAAGGGTAGAGAAACAGTAGTAAATTGGTAGTGTTAATTACCCGCAAAAACAAAGGTTTACAATGATATTATTTTATAAATTGTGGGATCTAAAACACAAAAATAGATGGTTAAAATGGTCCAACTCTATTAATTGATTAAGCTATAAAAGTTGAGGGAGAAATTTATAGATTATTGTTAATAATTTTAATAATTTATTAATAATTTTTATTAAAAATAAAAAATTCAAATTTTAAATTTAAATTACATAAGATATA